CAGTTCTGAGTCATAGCTTTGACAACAAGTGTTGTGCTGTACTTATTAGCTAAATCAGGTGACAAACCGTCACTGATATAAGCTCCTTCTAGAGACTAGAGTCAATTTTTCTACCTCCTGGGTATATTGAAGCTTAGCAGAAATAACTATTACTGACTCTCCTTTTACTTTGTCCAATAGTTTAGATATGAGAGCTGCAATAGTGTTCTCATTACTTATCAGGTTTATGGCATGGCCTTTTAGTTTTGTCTTAATAAGACTTATAGCATGTGCTTCGTATGTTTCTTTTAGGGAATCTACCAGATTCAGAGCATCTATGAAGCTTTTTAAATTTTCTGCCTTGCCATTAAACTCTGGTAAGAGCGATGAGGCTAACTTAAGAAAATTACTGGTGTTTGAGCCATGTCGACCATTTCGCTTTGTTCTTGCTTTTGTTCAAGTTATTCTTCTATTGATTCCATTTAATCAGTCATTTTAAATGTTGCTGGTGTAGTTAGCGCATTCGGAACAAATATTTGAAAATTATGACTTTCCGAAATGTGTTTTATATTTTAACACGCCAATTGATTGTGTTAAACGTAAATCGCTTAACCTACGTTCTTTGTTGTTTACAATGTCACGGACTTTGTTGTATGATTCTACTAGAACTTGCACATGTTTTATTTTTGTTTGGTTTGATATTTGTAGTTTATTCAATGCTGAATTGCTTATCATGTCTATTATCATATTGATGATAGAGTAAAGTGCAGCAGAATATGATGCCTTCCTTCACAAGTATGGCAATGACTACTATTTCAACACCGATTTTGATAGCTCTTCGCTAGGCAGTTATAACAGACGGCCAGTTTATTAACTTGCTAATGCCGAAGGGATGGAGATAGACTTCCCCAACTGATAGTTGGTCGTATGGGATGTCACGGTTTCTTCACGCTCTCCAACTTTTGACCACCGACTTCCAGAAATGCGAAGAACTCATCGGCTATCAGGACCTTGTCAATTCCAGCGGCCTCCTGACATTTGTTTTGAGTCTGGGTGTCCAATTCTTGAAGCAGCGTGTGCACTATTATGTAACCTGAGATTTCCTCCAAGCTCCCTAAAGTTTACAATGCACGCTATGCAAATTAACGTTGCCGGAGAACTCACGCTGCCCAAGAACCGCATTGATGTCTGTCTGGAAAACAAGACGATTACAACTAAATTTTTTATTTAGAATATCCAGAACCACACGATAATTGGCATCAAATATCGATACGAATCCAACACAGAGCTCGGCTCGGGATGCCCGTTCTTATGACGAATAAATGTTGAATAGGACGGGGTGTGAGCTTCAACCATGCCTACCACCTCGTCGAAATCAACGCATAATTTGCTGCACAAAATAGAGAGTCTATGAATGCTGGAAGCTGTATTTTTCCAGCCTTCAAAGGCGTTTAACAATAACTTTTGGTAATAGAATAATGGAAATTTTATTCAATATCTTTATATGCACTAAAATATAAAAACTTTTTAGCAACTGTTTTGAATCCCAAAACATAATAAGTTTATCTGTCGAATTGATAAGTTATAAGTTATTTGGTCGTTTCTTTTTCGCCCCGATCACCAACTAACAAACAAGTGGGTAAGAAAAAGGAAGAAAATGCATTTTTATAGCAGCTGCGATAAGTGCAAGAATCACTATCAAACCTGGTTTACAACGAATATCTATATTGGAATATCCAGACTAATATCGTACAGAATAACATAAAAAAAATTTTTTTAGTTTTGTATTACACTATAATTTACTTAGCTGCCTTGATACTTAGCCGCATCGGTGAGACAGCTGGATGAAAATAACTACGTTAAGTGCATCAAACTTAACAGCCTTTTGCACTTAAGCGCCTCATATCGGAAGTAATTTTTTGCGAAATTTTTTGCCAAACAAAGCGCTTTGTTGGGTCGACCATTAAAGAAAAACTACAAATTATTGCAGCTATAAATGACAATGACAACAAAAATTATGTTTGCACTAAGTACAAGTGTGACAAGTCAACAATTAACCGCATAATTAAAAAGCAAGCCGAAATACAACAGTCTGTTTTGTACAAGGTTAAACGACGATTATGAACCGGACGCCAATTGGCTTTGGCGCTGGCGTAAGCCTCACAACATTAAATACGGAAAAATTCATGGCGAAACTGCTGCAAATGATTCTGTATCAGCAAATTAATACATACGTGAAATATTACCAAGGTTGATTAAGGACTATAATCCAGAAAATATTTTTAACGGTGACGAAGGCAGTTGACCTCTTTTATAAAGCAATGCTGAATGCTACATTTTATACTTGTGGAAATCAGTTAAATGGGCAGAAATCTCAGAGAGCAAGGCTTAAGGTCTTGTTCATATGCAATTCAATCGGGACTTACAAAAAGGCTTTTATAATAGGCAGATCAAAATCCCCACGCTGTTTTAAGAATGTCAATGTGCCGCTGCCATATTATGGCAACAAGAAACCATGGATGTTGAAAGCTTGATGTTGAATTGAGAAACCAAGAACGGAAAATATTGAAAATATTGACAACGCAACAAGTCATACTAGTGTAAAAGACTGTAAAAGACTCTGGACCAAGGCATTATTTACTCTTTTAAAATAGTGTATAGACGTATATAGACGTCAAACAACAGCTAATTGCTGTAAACTGTGGAAAAACCTCAACTGAATTTTTAAAAACATTGTCGTTGCTCGATGCTCTACATTTTGTAGACCAGGGGTGAAAGAAAGTAAAAGAGTTAACAATTCAAAATTGTTTCAGAAAGGTAAGCAATTCATATTATTATTGTGGCTCCGAACTAATCAATGGGTTAAGGTGGGATTTAACTTAAGTTTTGAAGGCAGAGCATCTGTTGAAGTAAATGAGCCAGTATCTGTAGAGGTGGGGTACGAATCGCATATTAATTGGGACGAATATACCAATATTGCCGCAGATGTGTCTTGCCATGGTCATGGAGTAAATTGTTCCTTCCCGAGTTCAAAAAAGCGATGAACACAGTGGAGATGAAGACATCCAAAATTATGATACAGTTATACTTTATTTGCGCCGTTAAATTGCAGAGGAGCCTTTAAACATTCCTTGGGTTAAAGATGTTATTACCAACTGAGTAATCGCTACATCGCCAGACTAGGCAACCACCCAAATAATCTTGCCATTGGCCTATTAGACACTAGCTCAACAACAAGACGGCTCAAAAGAAGACACCCACTTGACCTCCCCCAAAGAGTCTAACTCCACACATTCCACTGCACTAAACAGACTCATAGATACACGCAATACACAACTGCTAACGTCCGGAGAAAACATTTAATTATTGCCCAATAAGAAGCAGATTTTAAATAAATAAATAAATAATTATGTTAAAAAAAAAATTTAAATACATGCAGTTAATAAAAACTACAAAAATAATACATTTTACTTAGTAGGTTACTATGAAATTGATTCGCTTTTAAGGAAAAAACCTAATTTAACCTCCTTTTTAGGATAGCTGCCTCTAATGTCCGTGGAAAGTCTCGAGGCAGCTAAGCAAATTATACTGTAATTTCAATATTTATTATTTTACTTATTGAGCGCGTCAACTTTTTTATTCGGATGCTCAGCGAAGAGTGAGACTAAACGATAGAAGACTTTCAGTGTCAAATCTGAAAATAACAAAAGCCTTCTTGGGCATTGTAACTTTTGCATAAATAAGTGTATTTCAACAATCATTATTTAAAAAAGCTATTTCACTAAACTAAGTGTACGACCTCTTTCCTGCTTGCATGAATATTTGCTTATTTGATGCAACTGCTGCAGAATCAAACAACCATATCGATTCCTTGAACACACACAGTAAGAGTATTACGACATGGATTGATTGAACACAAGGCAATCATATGTTGTTCAGTTTGTGGCAGTCAAAGATTTACGACTAGCGAGCCCTTAGTGATATGTTTTGCGATCCTTTTCTTATATTTGTAAGGAGTCTAATAAAATATTTTCTGCGATAGTCTCTAATAAAATATTTTCAAGAGTCTCTTAAAGGATATCGCAAAACGCTCGCATAAAATATGATTTACAAACATTTTTATTCATGCCCATTTTGGTTCCAATAAAATGTTTTCTGTTTTTTTTTTTTAATTTTCATTTTCAAATCAAATTTAAAAAAATTTTAAAATATATGTAACATTTTATTATTATTTACCAAAATTGCCCAAAAACCAATATATCGATATCGATTTTTATCGATTGCTTGGAAAGGGAGTAAGTTATCGATAATCGGAAACAAACTTGATCTGTGCAGGCACTAGGAGCATCTACATCTGCAATTTCAAGTCTCTAACTCTTATAGGTTCTGAGGTTCTTGCGTTTATACATAAAATGGGTAAAAATTTGTTCAAAATCCAAATGTATGTAACAGGCAGAGGAAGCACCTCCGACCTCATAAACTATATATATATTTGATCAGCACCAATAGCCGAGTCGATCTAGCCATGTCCTTCTGTCCGTCTGTCCACATGTATGAACGCATGGATCTCAGAGTTTGTTTCCGATTATCGATAACTTACTCCGTTTCCAAGCAATCGATAAAAATCGATATCGATATCCTGGTTTTTGGGCAATTTTGGTAAATAATAATAGCTACAGTCTTCAAACTTGACATATAGCATCTAAAATAGAATATATATATATATGCATTTGATGCTGGAGGCAGAGGGTTCATGGTATCCCCAAGTCGGGAGTTCCCGACTAGAACCTCTTACTTCTTTTTTTGTTGATTTGGTTAATAATATTTCGGGTTCAAGTACTAACATTTTTAATGAAAATTTATTCGAGACATGCTTCGAGATGTACTTCAAATTTTTTTTCGGCATATAAGTTTTTTGTTGATGTATAAAAAACAATTTTTGAGCGATTTTTTAAGTTTCATCTGATGTGATTCATACTAATTTTTATGCCTTACATAATAACCTAATAAATACCTATTCACTGATTTTAGAATTAAAGTGTGTGCGCAATTTTAAACAAAGCTGGAGTAACTAAGGAGGCGCTTTGTTTTCTTTTAAGCAAATTAACAAAATAGCCCAAAAAGTCTAGTTTATTCTCAGTATACCCAAAATAAAATATTTGTGAATATCCTAAAATGGCATCTTCAGGTCCAGCTGAAGAAAACGAGCCACCATTTGAAAACGCCGATGTTTATCATGATGACGGTATTAGTATTATGGAATTATTTAAATACTTTAACATATTTTAGTTATATCTCTTAGGACATACAAAGGGAAACCGAGAATCGAATGAGTCAATGAGTACATATTTATCTAGTACAGTTTACTCTAAGGAAGATTTGGAAAATTTAGTTGAGCTTATCCAACGAATGACTATTTTATATTCACTTGATCACAGGGATTGGACTGAAAGCACTCTAAATATTATAAGACATTGGATACTTAAGCCGAGCAAACCAATGCTTACATTATTTTACGATTCAAATATCATAACGGCATGCCTAGGATTCCCAGTTGCACCCATTCTTGACATTACTTACTTTGTGCGATCACCTAATCAAATTATCACCGCTGATGCATTTCATGATATTGTACATTTTGGGACCATTCATAATGATGTTGACGGTTGCCTGCTTCGCATTCTCGAGTTGGCATATGCTCCTATATTTCGGAATCACTCAGAGTGGGATGACAATATAAAACAGCGCTTCTGCAAAGCTTTAGACAAGTTTCTTGTCTATTTAACGGGAATGCACTTTAAAATGTCAGGAATGACAGTGTTATATGTTCCTTATATTGTGAGGCAAATTCCACGGCAAAACATTTCATATGATCCTGAGTTTGTAAAGAACCTTGAGTCGATCTCAGTTTTTTGGGCAACGCAGATACGGACCCTTTTGAATGACAAGACTTTATCTGTTCCCAATGATTTTGTCATATTAGAGGATGAATACGAATTTTGGCTTTATCGGTGTAAGTATAAAGTTGTATCTTTGAATATGTTTAAAGTAATTTGTGTCCCTGTAGTTGAAGTTTTGCAAGCGCTCAACACACAATTAGAACAAGTTGATGTACAAAGTATAATTAAAATTCTTCGAAATTCTCATTCAGTGTACATTAAACAAATTGATGAACTAGTTTATGAGTCTACGTCCGAAATGGAACGGGCAATGTCAAATATCAAATTTCTACATCTTCTTATGGACCCATGTGCTGAAATTAATCTCACTGAAAGTCCTGCAATATTATCTCAGCTATTGCCAAAAATCATAAATCTTATCTATTTTATTTGGGTAAATTCGGAACATTACAATAGACGAGACTTAATTACAAGTCTATTTCGTGACTTGAGCAACCGAATTATACGGTTTTGCACAGAAATGATAAATTTGGATAAAATACTTTCTGGAAGTTCCCGATTTGGAATAAAAGTCTGCAACTTGTCTCTGAATTGTTGTCTTACCTACAAAGGAATCTATAGTTTAATGGCGAAAGAAAATGCTAAGTTTGATAATAGATTGGGTTGGAATTTAGACAATGCTATGATTTTTAATCACGTAGATGCTTTTATGGAGCGCCTAAATGATGTCATAGACATATGCGAGTCGATGATTGTATTTGGAAGATTGGATGAAGCTGAGAGCATTCCCAAACCACAGTTCGGTGGAACTACTGGGCCTGAGTTTGAAAAAACAACTGAGTCAGTCGAGAATCAATTCCTAGCAACCTTAACAGCACTAAATACAGACTCCAAGGAGTTAATATTAAACGTGCATAAAAACGATTGGTATGAAGAAGTTCTTAAATATCGACGAACAGTTCAAAGTATGGATGAGACTGTCCAAAGACTTATGTCGAATGTGTTTTTACATGTCTGCAACGTTGAAGAAGCAATCGAATCTTTAAATGTAATGCTTTTTTATTCATATCGTAGCTCCATAAGAAAATCGTATTTGCGACAAGTCACAGAGGTTTGGTTATTGTTTTGTAATGAAATGGATTCCACCTCACATATTTTAATGGATCGCAGCAAATTGCACGAGACTTGGGTACCATATTATGCCTCAAGAGCTATTGGTTATCGTATCAATATAGAAAGACTTACATGGCTTCGAAATCGTTTAAATTCGTCTGAATGGTTACCAAATGTTTCCGAGGCCTTGATTGTTCTTAATAAATTTGAAAATTTGAGAAAAGAATTTGATAAAGAGATGCGTAAGTCATATGACGAATGGCAAAAGAATTGTTGTAGCACAGTTTTAAATCAAAAGTTGGACCGATTTTTACTTGCTCGTAGTAAAAAAAAAAAAGGACTACTTGAGTGCAATATAGACCCAAGCGTATTAAGTATTTGCGAACAAGCCCAACATTTTTCACGTCTTGGGTTTTCGGTACTTGGACCGGTGCGCAAAATTTTTGAAAAACAAGATACCCTCCGATTTGTTTATAACAGTGTTTTGCAAGTTTGTCTTAACTATAATCATATACTATCTGCATTATCCGAACAGGAAAGGAAGTTTTTTCGGTCTCTTATACAAGCGTGCGATCGAAAAATTGCACCGGGAGTTTTCAAATTAAGCTATGGAGGTGACCTAAGCGATGCGTATATCGCAGATTGTGCCAAACATACAAATAAGCTACAAGAAACAATGGATATGTATAAACGTGCTAATAGGAATATTGCCCGAACTTGCGAAAAGATCTGCAATACACCAATGTTAAAATTTACATTTACAGGTGCAGTTGCAATATCTCTTTTTGAAAGCCATCTTTCCAATTACATTAGACGTGTAAGTAATGTACTTCGAGGATACTATAACACGATAACGGATCTATTATTTGCTGTTTTTATGAAGTTTCAACCAGTTATCGAGGACGTAAGTACAAAACCCTAAAATATTCTCATCTTCGGAACCCGAAGATTTAAGACACTGCTCGATTTCGTAAACAAAAAAAGTTGACCTACTGTTTTTTGTATCAATTCGTCCTAGTCCCTTCTAAAAAGTGCGAAGCACTAGCACAACTAGCGTTGCCCTGCACTCTTGCCATTTTACCTCTTCCTCACAGCATGTTATCATAACAGCGGGTTACGGCATGCCAAATACTAGTAATGCTGTCGTCGCTTTCAGTCTAAAAATGTTAAGCTCAATTAATTACAATCATTTACAAAGAAGAAATGAAACACAGTTTAACATGTTATATCATATCCGGATAAAACCCTTAACTATACCACATCAAAAACTTTGTGATTATATTAAGCTTCAAACTTTGTAAACTGGAATTTGTAAACATCTATCGGAAGTTAAACAAAATGGTTGCATACAAATATTTGTGGTGGGTACAGCACTGAAAATAAGATTGAAGCAAATCGGCTAAAACTGAAAACTACACCAAAAAAAAAATATTAGAATCGGTATTTTTACAGAGAGGGATGGATTTTCTAAAATGTGCGAAATACACGTCAAATAAATATGATGATCAAATTGATTTCTACGGGTTGGGCTTTGCGTTGATCACCATTCAGTAAGTCAGTCAGGACAAGCAGTTTTATATATACAGATATATAACAGCGATTCTTCCGCGATCCCCGCCAGTCACTGATTATAAGCTAAACTCATTACTTATCTAGCAATTCATAACAATTTTCCGTCATATACATATTCTAGCCTTAATTAGAAAACTAGGAGATATCCTCAACACTCTATTAATTCCTTTGAAATATGTTGTTGAACACCACGACTGTGTTCGTTCAGTGAAGTCTTTGGAATGTTCTTTATTCGGAACTCTGTCCGCTTCACAACCTTATATATAGAAAAATATGTATCCTTCTGTCGTAGCAGAGCTTAATTAAAAGAGAGTGTGTGTGTCATGTACACGCATTGTGAGTGTGGTACCTTTAGCTTGCGCTATATAAGCGTTGCGTGGGATATGCGCCGTCAGCTAAACGGCAACCTAGAGTACAAGTGATCCGCGCTGCGTAATATGAGCCTAGGTCAATTGGCTCTGCGCTTCTGGCTTTGTTTGTTATTGTAGGCATCAAAGTGTCGCATACTTATGGATTGAAATACAGGGGGTTATTTAATGCTTATACACACTTCACATCACGTTTTAGAAGAATAAGTTGAATTAAGCTAGCGGGGCTAGTGAACCGTTCTGCGTAATATGAGCCAGAGCCTATAAGTAAAGTGGCTCGGGTTTTATTTAATGTATGTATGGAACAAAGCTGAAATTTTCACTGTATTAACCATATGTGATGAAAGTGCACGTTAAGACGGGGTTTCGGGAAATTCCACCCGCAAGTATGGAAATATCGAGATAAATGTTAGTATGAAACTTTATTGCTTACCATCCGATTGGTCTCAAACTAAATTTCAAAGTTCTTTGTTCAAATTCATTTGAAGCGTGTTTCATACTTTTCCAAAAATGTATTCCTCCTTGGTGGAAATGGGGGTCAAAGATTTGGTGGGTGACGTTCCGCGCCTAAATTCATTTTCAAAGCTCTATATGAAAAATTTGTGACGTGTTTCACATTTTTCGGAAAATCTAAACTCCTTCGGTTGAAATGCGATTCAAAGATTTTTTGGCGAAGTTTTAAGTGGTGTCCGATTTGCTTCAAACTTTTTTTTAAAGCTCTACATAAGAACTTAATGAATAAGTATTTCAACCCATAATTGTTGTTAATTAGCGAAAAACGTTGGTATGAAACTTTTTTGTTAACCATCGGATTGGCCTCAAACTTATTTTCAAAGATCATTGCTAAAATTCATTAGAGGGGAGTTTCACACTTTTTGGAAAAATCCGTTCCTCCTTGTTGGAAATGGAAGTCACAGATATGGTGGGTGGCCCTTTGCCTTCAAATTCATTTGCATGGATCTACAAAAAAAATCATTTGAGACGTGTTTTACATCTTTGCAAAATCTAAGCTCCTTCGGTGGAAAGTGCATTTTAAATAAATTTTTTTAGAATTTTAAGCTATGTCCGATTTGAATCAAAATTATATTCAAAGCTGTATATAGGAATATAAAGAATACGCGTTTCAGTGATTTGGGTAATTCCACTCGAAACAGTGGTAAAGTGTCGGAAAGCGTTTGTAGCAGTTTTTTACTGTCGGCTCAGTTTCAAAATCACGGGCAAGGCTGGGCTGTACCCGCTAGTTTTATATATGGGGTCTATGAAAGTTAGGTTGTTAAATTCTGTAAACTGATTTGGTAATCTTCTTTGGTAGCGTCTTCAATTCTCTGTTCCGGCTAGACCAACCAGAAATTATCGCCCCTTATTCCAATCTACGTGCACAACAGACTACGCTATGGATAATCCTTTTCGCGTGCTATGTTAAAATTATTATAGTTTGCATCACGTTTTCTCTACCGAAGCGTCTCTACCCCTAATAAAATCGTTGCTTTCAGGATACCTTCGGGAAGTCGCTGACCATTCCCAGCTATGAGCAGGGTCATAGCTTGCCGGACAGGCTGAAAAATGTTCCCCCACCGCGTCGGTGATTTCCCATTACTTTTCTCTTTGTCCTATCTACTTAACACTCTTTATCTTACTTACATTGCTTTACTTTATTAAAAATCTTCATACTTTATTTTTCCCTATTTATTGTATTTTCTTTATTAATATAGTAAATTAAGATTATCTTTAATTTTACTTGAGAACACTTTTCCTACTTACAACCTTCTGCTCTAATAGCGTCACTGACTAAATTAGCTGTGAAAAGGGGACAGCTGGCCGGACTGGCAAATAAAACACCTCCATCGGTCGGTTATGCTATTTAGAAAATTGTCTTCCTTAACTAGGCTTTTAGCATATAATTCTATTGAATAATGAGGAAGACACTCGTTTTGTCCACCATTAATAAATAAATAAAATAAAAATCTTCCATAAACATGTTTCTATGGAGAGTATTCAAGTACTGTCAATGGTGTAGGGTTGAAACAATATGTGAAATAATTAAACTATTCTTGATTTGGGGTATTCGTTTGGCGTTACGCATACATTTTCACATACTTTGTAATTGTTTGTCATTTAGGGCCATTAATAGTATTTCTTGATTTGTAACAAGGTATGCGAAGGTATGCATGTGTAAAATTTAAATGTATGTAACAGGCAGAAGGAAGCATCTCCGACACCATAAAGTGTATATATATTTTTGATCAGCATCAACAGAGCAGTCGGGCTAGTCATGTCCGTCTGTCCGTTCGTTTGTCCGTCTGTCCGTCCATCCGTATTTATAAACGCAAGGACTTAAGGAACTATAAATTAGAGAAATTTTAACTGTATGTGCTCCTAATCCATCTGCAGATTGAGTTTGTTTCCGATAAAACGACCACTCACTCCATTTCCAAGCAATCAATAAAAACTTTTAAGATGGGTACACTATATCATATAGCTGCCATACGAACGATCGGTCGAAAATTAAGTTGAAAAATAAAGTTGATTTTGCTTTTCAAGATATCTTGACCAAACCCGTCAAGATCCTATTAAGATCGGACCACTGTACCATATAGCTTGCCATAGAAACGATCGGTCGAAAATTAAGTTTTTGTATGAAAAAACATTTTGTTTATCAAGATATCTTGACCAAACTCGGCATTTATTAGTTTTACTATGCTCCTCATATATATGCAAAATTCTATTAAGATCAGACCACTATATCATATAGCTGCCATAGGAACAATCGGTCGATAATTAAGTTGTTGTATTAAGAAACATTTTGTTTTTCAAGATATCTTGACCAAACTCGACATTTATTAGTTTTACTATATGTGTAGTTACAAGCCTTTTTGCAACTAATTAATTAGCACTGCTTTGTGTGCAACGAACGGTGAAGAGAGTAGGCAGCAACTTACATAGAGCAAACATCATTAGCTCTTAAGCTGTAATTATGTTTATTGTCCTCTGCTGTTACTGCACGCAGCCATCGCTGTTATCTCTACCGGTCACTTGACTTAGCGTCCTTCCTCCGTTGGAAGGCACGGGACTTACGAGGACGACATCATTGATCCTGGCTAAGGAGTGCGCCATTTGGAGTGCTGTTGAAGAACGGGCCCAAAATACTTGTTGGAGGTATGTGACGCGCTGAAAATAGCTAAGCCGATTGAAATTAAGCTTCCTTAGATCAGGCTCAATGTACGACGAAGATGGCACTGTACCCAGGAAGTGTGCGGGTGTCAAGACATCAAGATCATCGGGATGCTCCGAAAGTGGGAGTAATGGACGAGAATTAATAATTGCCGTGATGTGGCAGACGAGCGTGCGCAGCGAATCGAAGTCCAAGATGGAAGGGTCAACAGAGCGATAAAAATGGTGCTTCGCAGTCTTCACAGCGGCTTTCCATAACGCGCCAAAGTGTGGAGAGCGAGGGGGGATGTACGACCATTCAGTTGATTCGGATAGGCAAAACTCGTGAACAGCTTTGACATGCTCGTCACTCAGGAATAGGCGGCTCAGATCTGCCAGCTCATTCTTAGCGCCTACGAAGTTTGTCGCATTGTCAGACCAGATCCTTGAAGGTCGAGTGCGAGTCAGGACGAGCCGTTTTAGGGCGTTTAGAAACGATATTGTAGACAAATCCTTTACAAGCTAATGGGCTAGGCTAACAGGCTAATGTAGCATTTCACGGGAGGCTGTTGCGGACTTCGCTCTTGTAGAAGAATGGTCCACAGTAATCAACGCCAGTGACCATAAAAGGATACGATGTGTCGAGACAATCAGCTGGTAGATCTGCCATTATGTGCTCTGCCAATCGTGGCTTGGCACGAAAACAGATTGTGCATTTGGCAACAATACTAGAGACTGTTTTACGACCACCAATGGGCCAGTATTGGAGCCGAATCGAAGCCAATACGACCTGAGGTCCAGCATGCAAATTCCGTTTATGAAAGTGGATTATTATTGCTCGGGTCACAGGATGCTGGCGAGGCAATATA